CTAATAATCCCGAACCACCCAGGTGGAACCACGAGATTGTTCGTCAAACTGACTTGCCTATCGCAGTTCACACATCTGGTTAGACCAGTGGATTCGCCAATCGTGTCTGAGGGTAAGAGTGAGGTACCTTCCATAACGCGAGTATCAGTAGCTCGGGTCGGTAAATGTGGTGCCCAGCGAGAGCAAGTCATCTGCTCAAAAGAGTGAGGCAATTGTATCATCGGAAATTACAGACAGTGGAGGTGCAGTTGTAGGGTTGTGGGGAGGAATGCTGCAAGCAGGCTCCATTGAGAGTAAGAACTGCATAAGCCTCCGAACCCTGAAGACAAACAGTATGAATCTGCTACAGAGCGCTGACGGGTGCTAGTCTGCACACTCCGATTGTGCATGATCGATCATGAACTGTTGCTCATCGGTGGGACTAGAACAAATGCCCGCTGCGGCGTGCTGCTCAAGGCCAGGAAGTGGGAGGTTGTCAGTACTGGAGAGGCTGAATGTGTGATATAGCAGGGCCCGCCGAGAGCAGTTAGCCCAGAAATGCGGTTCCGAAAAGCAAACAAGATAGAAATGACTGAATTATAGGTATTGCAATGAGGCTGGACGTTACCGTGGTGGGATGATTTGCGTGCCTCAGAGATCCATTGAGCTATGCTGGGTGGTGCTTTTTTTGCACCATCAAAGCCACTCATACCAGATTGGTCAGTGGTTAGAGGCCAGACAAACTCAGCCTCCTGGTCCTTCAGATTGGGGTTGGAATGGGAGTGGCTCCTCATTTCATAAAACGGGCTTTGTAGTCCAGTGCCAAAACCCGCTGCTTGAGGTAAGGTTTTTGAACCAAAGGCTTTGGTTGAGAACCTTAATCGTTCTCCTGTCTAGGCCTGGGCAACCTGACAGTATTCTGCCCACGCAATACAATGAACCTTTTCTTACAACAATTTCTTGATGCTCTGGCCGTCGCAGAGGATAATAAACGGCGCTCTATCTGCTGCATCGAGCAGGGTAGATAGGGATATGGATGCTACTGCTCAGGCCTTCCCGTCTCCTTATACCCCTTCTTGCGCTTCTTCATCCTTATCGTCCCGCTCCAACTTTACTTATATCCCCCCATTTTCAGTCCCCCAATTCTTGGCCCTCCCCCAGCTTACTTCAATAGTCGCTTGTCTTCTAATTTCAAATCACTCACAATCGCAGGGCCCCGCTCCAATCCAGTCGGCAAGTCCATGTTCAACCAAGCGGACAACGTCAGTTCATCAGTTTCCCTTTGGAGTCCTCGAGTCTCACTAAGACTGGCATGCCTCAACTTGCGATCTTTGCTACAGATTGGCCAACTGGCAGCAATTGTCCGCACACTAGAGACCCTATCGATCGACACTTGCTGTTTATCAGAAACCCGCCTGCTAGGTTCGAGCTCCGTGCTTACCCTGAGATCCCCCACATGCGACACTGGCGGCACATTCTCATTGCGCCTGTCTGGCGATGATGCAGCTTCAAATGCCGGTCAAGCTAGCGTCGGCATTGTTTTGAGTCTCCGGGCTGAAGCTGCCCTGATTGATTGGATCCCAGTAAAGAGTAGAATGTGCGCCGTTAGATTAGCTGGTTCGTTCCGTACTACGAAGTCGAGAGGGGACAAACGGTGCCTGTTTGACATTGCGGCCTACGCCCCTACAAACTGTAGCACTGATTCGATAAAAGATGATTTCTATCAGCAACTTCACGAGCTCCTTCGTTACAGAAGAAGCACGGATACTGTGGTGTTGTCTGGCGATCTAAACGCCCAAGTCGGAAAATTGTCCTCTGATGAGCTTCATCTGGGCGGCCAACATGGTGTAGGCTCCCGTAATGATAATGGTGAGCGATTGCTACAGCTGTGTGAAGATGCTCGCCTCTTTCTCGCGAGAACTAACTTTCGACACAGCACCCGCAGAAGCTTGACTTGGCGGCCACCAGCCTCGGGCCAGCCATGGACGCAAATCGATCACATCGCGATCAGTTACCGCTGGACAGGCTGTGTCCAAAACTGTCGCTCGATTTGGAGCACGAGCGTGGACTCTGACCACGCACTTGTCTGTGCCGACCTCCTGGTGCGTTTCGGTGGACATCCGTAACATCGATGTGAACGGATTGACACCAGCCAGCTGGCGAAGCCAGATGTTCTAAATGTGTACCAAAGTGCGCTGACATTTGGGCTGAGTAAGCTCCCACTAAACACCGTTGAAGATCACTGGTGGCGTATTCATCAAGCGTTGCTGTTAGCAGGCATGTCTTCATGTGGCAAAGCAAATTGCCAAACCGGACATTGGGTCTCTACATAGTCTCTGGAACTTATGGATGCTCGCCGACGTATTCCGGCTGGAAGCGAATACAATGAGGCTCGCAAAAATCTCAGGGCAAAACTACGTGCTAGCCTGAAGAAGGATCGCGAAACCTCGTGGTCTCATTGTGCCTCTGAGATGGAAACCGCCGCTGCCGTTGGTAATCGTCGTAAGTTATGCCGTCTGATACGGGAAACAGGCAGCAGGAGACCTGGTGTTAGCGAGACCATACGCGACGAGAGTGGGCAACTGATCCGCAGCCTGTCAAAACGCTTGGAGCGTTTGGACTGAACACTTTGCAAGGCAATTTAACCAACCTGAGTTATCGCTTTCTTCTTCAGGCATTGAGCGCCCTTCTCCCTGCGCCGTATCCTTAGATCCGCCTTCACGCGCAGAAGTCGAACGTGAGATCAGGCTGTTGAAATTGCATAAGGCCGCAGGGGTAGATAGAATCCCCCCAGCCCTCTTCAAATTCGGAGGAACTGCTCTAATAGATGATTTACACGAGTTGCTAGTAAAACTTTGGGAGCAGGAGACAGTCACGCCAGACTGGGACCGCCCCGTCATTGTCCCAATTTTCAAGGGAAACTTCCGTTTGGAATGCGGCAAACATAGAGGGATCAGTCTGATTTGGGTTGCCTCTAAATTGCTTGCCTCTGTCATTCTCCACAGACTGACTGGCACTCGTGAAAGCCAGATTCGTGAAGAGCAAGCCGGATTTCGTCGAGGTCGGGGCTGCATCGACCACATCTTCACCTTGCGTCAAGTAATGGAGCACCGCCATGTTTATTGGCGACCCACCGTCGTTGTGTTTCTTGACATAAAAGGTGCCCTCGACAATCGATCGATGTGCTCTTTGGGACTGTCTGCTGAGGAAAGGTGTGCCTGATAAGTATGTAAACATTATCAAAGCGCTGTACGCGCATAGCTGAAGCAAGGTGAGGGTTGATGGCAAACTGTCGCCACCCTTCAGTATCACCAGCGGTGTGAGACAAGGATGCCCGCTGTCACCTTTCCTCTTCAGCTTCGCTATTGATGAAGTCATGGAAACAGCGTTCGCTGGACACGACCTAGAAGGTGTGGAGTTACTTCCTGGTGAGCGACTTCTTGACTTGGAGTATGCGGACGATATTGCCTTAATCTGTGACAGCTCCCAAACATGCCAAGCAGCACTGGACCGATTAGCACTGGCTGTCAATCGTTTTGGGCTATGCTTTGCTCCATCGAAATGCAAAGTACTTCTCCAAGATTGGCAGGGACCCAACCCTGCGCTAACGCTTGGTGGTAATCTGCTAGAAGTCGTTCAGGAATTCAAGTACCTGGGCAGCTATATTAGCACCCGTGGGGTTGAAGATGAGGTTACGAACCGTATAGCAAAAGCTCAAGGTGCTTTTGCCAATCTCCGCCACCTGTGGCGCAGACGCGACATTACTCTCGCCCTGAAGGGCAGAGTTTACAACGCAGCCGTCCGTTCAACTCTCCTATATGGTTGTGAAACCTGGACCATCAGGTCGACAGACATAAAGAGGCTCGTCATATTCGATCATCGCTGCTTTCGCAGCTTAGCTCATGTCTGGTGGGAGCACCGCGTGAGCAATGAGCGTGTTCGACGTCGCGTATTTGGTGCAGGAAGTGCGAGTGAACCGCTCAGCACCATTATACCACGCACCAGGCTCCGATGGTTGGGCCACGTGTTGCGCATGCCAGCACACCGACTCCCGCGACGTGCATTGTTTGCGCGTTGTGGGTACGGTTGGAAGAGGGGGAGGGGAGGCCAAGTGATGACTTGGTCGAGAGAAATGAAAACCCTACTTCGCAGTTGGCGTCGGTTGGTGGATCCCGACTGCTTGGCTGGGGTCTTAAGGACGGTGAACACGTTTGGCTAGACACACTTGCTGATATGGCTTGGAGCCGGCTCCAATGGCGCTTGTGTTGTGAGTGCCTTTGTCCATCCCCCTCCTGCTTAGCATCCCCCTCCAATCACGATCTCACTTGTTAGGCATAATATGACTCCCTTTTACGGCAGCCAGCTGTTAGCTCTCCGGAACGATGTCCATTCGTTACAGGGGGCTCAGCGGGCGTGCCACCGTTTGTTTTCCTTTTCTTATCTTTTGTATTGCGGCACAATAGCTGAGGTGTTTTCCACCTCCAGCTAAGGTATAATGATGATGATGATGTGCATAAATGGGGTTGCCCGGATCGTGGAGAGCTGATGAAGGTAACCACGTCAAAAGTATCAAGCTATGAAGAGTAGACAGCACACATTAAAAATGCATGTGTTTCGAGTGTGTAAACTTTCAAGTCGTAAAGTCCACATCAACACGCAAGTGGTCAGAACGTGCGCCGCTGTGTTACAACAACAAGGTGGGTAAAGAAACGGCACAATTAGTGAGGCACCAAACTCAAGCAAAACAGAATCGTATACGCAGGCTGTTACGAGAAATGGCACAAGAGGTAATACGTTGGCAATTTCGATAGGGTGGATATATACAGCACACAAGTAATTCACACAAATTCTGAGCATCAAAACCATGGTATGTGGCTGTGACTTTAGCGTTCATGCTTCCCGCATGAAGGTGTCGGACGCAGCAACGAGAACGAAAAGTACAGGACGAGAAAAACGCGTGAACAGTGCGGAAGTTGTGAGATATAAAAGCCACATGATAAGTCGCACACCAGTCAGCATACCTTCGCGGCGCATTCCGACCTGCAAACACTTCTGGTAGCGACAGTATTGACAACGGTTCCGCATGCGTTTATCAATCAGGCAGTGTTGATTCTCTCTGCATTGGTACACCAGCTCCCTGCGCACTGTGCGTTTGAAAAACCCTTTGCATCCCTCGCAAGAAAATACACCTGGATGAGGAAGGGGACAGGGTAATAAGCAATGTGAATCTTGTTCCGTTGGTAGGAGTAATACACTGGCACCATGCAAACGAAGGCAGTGAAAAAAAGGCGCGAGAAGCACTCAAAGAGATATTGTGACAAACGAACTGAAACACCGGACAACAGCACAACCAGATAGAGAATGGAGAGTGATTTTCCGGTGAGACAACATGAAGGGGAGCCAGGCGAGAATTGTAGCACCAAACCAGCAGTACATATACCGAGGGCTCAATGCCGCGCGATTGCAGACGGAGGTAAGTATATTGGGAAATTGCAGGTGCACCCAGACTCATGCAGGGGATGTGGAGTCGAGGAAGGTAAGTGGGAGGCTACACCACGGGCCAAATAGAGCGAAACGACAACCCAATTACGCCAAGTCAACACAGCTGTACTCGTGGAGAGAATATCTAGTTGAAACATCACGCCAGTGTGTATGTCAATGGATCCATGATAGTGCACATTAATGTCGAAACTGGAAAAAAATGCCGCCTGACATGGACGATGGGTAACGAGTAGAGCTAGGTGGTGAAACAAAGCGAGGACAAGACGAGTTGGCCAAAAGTCGTGCTAAAAATCAATTAAGTGCAAAAAAGGACAAAATGGTAGGAAGAGACCGTCAAATGGGTAGATAAGAAAGCAACATTTAAGTCATGAGAGGGAGAATGCGAAAGAGAGAATTTAGGATTAGTGTCCGCCTCTCGACTGAATGTGGTCTCTGATCACTGAGGTGTCCAACTTTGCGGACCTCCTAGAGACAGGTGATATAAAAACCCCCCCAATTCAAGTCAAAATAAGCTTTACGAACCCAGATGGGTTCATTTTCAGCATTTACACCACCACTGCGGACACCTGGATGATAATAGCAATACACCTGTTTGGGTAAAAGATTGGGAAAAAACAGAACTGTTACTACAACAACCGCTCACGCACAGCATGCTAGGGATTTTTGCTGTGTCAACAAGCAATCGTGAGAGATAAGGCAAAACAGTATTACGATATGATGACGTGCGGGAGAATAAAATTCTGAATTTCGAACGAGTAGAAGAGAAAGAGAGCATTTTGGAAAGATCATTGTGAAGTAGATGAAATCGATCAGTTAGTAAGAAGAAGAATCATTGCAGGCATCAAGATGTCTAGAAATAATCAAATCAACTTAAGAATCTATAGACAAGCTGCTGTAGCTAGGAATGTGCTTTATAGATCCCACCAATAAGATGGTCTTTCTGAAGCACTCCAGGGAAAATGACAAGTGAGCAGTATAACTAATAGGGAATAATGTAAGAGGTCACAAACCTGAATATTAAAGTACGAGGTACTGAAAGCACCTTAAGTCTGAGGGCATAAAAAGAAGTTTTCTGACTTTTTGAAAAGTTTTACAGACGGGTGGACAAAGAAAGGTTCTGGGACGAAAAAACGCCGATACCTGACGGTGGAAGAGCAGGGTATGGAATTTTCATTCACAGTAAGTGTGTGGGGGTGAGATCTATGAAGGACTGCAACTTGTCGCCAGGGAGAAAAGAAAATATTACATCACTGCAATTAGAAGCATTAAGCGTAAGAGATCTGGTTGAAGACCATTCCACAAGATCTTCCGACCAACATTGAAGTGATGAGGAATCCTGGTTGGCGGATTACTTCTATTATGCCTTTTTGCGACAATCTCGTCGGAAAAGTTCGGGTTTCCTCTGACCGAGCGCAGTACCCGTGGGAAATGGACGGCAGGACATCTAGTCGTAAACCATGTTGCCGATCGATTATATATATATATATATATATATATATATATATATATATATATATATATATTCGTCTTGTAATCGTGCCTAGATAGCCCAAAATGTCAAGATTAGTGGGGGGTCTATGGAAAACAATGTCCAGTATCATTTGAGCACGCGGATGGTGTCATTCTTAAAGATTCCCATGCTGTGCACACTTTTCCAAAAACAAGAAACGGGTATAAATTCTCGGAATCATTTGACAATATGTCGTAAAAACCATGAAGTTGCTTAGCAGAGTAATTACACAAGATGAAAAATGGGCACATCATCATGAGTTAGAAACCAAAGCCCAGTCAAAAAATGGAAATATCTTGGTTCCCCACCTCCAACAAAAGCACGTGTCCAATCTTCAGCCAGTAAGGTCACGTTCACAGTCTAATGCGATCAACATGGTAAGGATGAACATCTTTATTATCATTATTCCCGGCCGGTCGCCGAGTGGTCTGCACGCCTGGCATGCAATCATAAGGCAACCGATTCGAATCCGCGTAGAGACGGGCGTCCTTGTGGTATATTTAACCCACGCGCGACTGATGGTGGTCGCACTCCAACGAAGCGTCGTCACGGCGTACAGCTGATGACTCGTTATTATTTTGATTCATACTGCGTCAATTAAGAATGGCTATCAAGAAAGAGGGATGGCATGCAAATCAGAGTTGTCCTGCTCTTCCGTGACAATGCTCCTGTCCATAAGTCGTCCAGACACAAGCGCGGTCTTGTGACTATGAAACACTTCTTCATCCTCCATACTCTCCAGACCTTGTATCATCTGACTATGACTTCTCTCCAAATGTGAAGTCATTTCTGACGGGAAAACATTTTCCTGACGATAGGACTAATTGCTGAGGTCATGTCATGACTTTTGACCCAATCTGGATGAAACGAATGCAAAGTAGGACCAATACTTGTACAACGTTCCGTTATCCTCGGTGCACGGGAATACAGTCATTATTGAACAACACGTACAGTTACAGTTAACGCAATCTGTGGTACATATAGGGTGGCATTAGAGTCGCGGTGGAATAGAAAAACAAGATTGGATTTGAGCTACACGTCCGCCAGAGACACTCCGCATCTCTGAGACCCCAACCAGAGAGTAAAGAGTAATCGACTTAGACCAACCGTTCTTGTCGGTGCTTTTTTATGCCGCATCTCCAAGTTATGGGCTATCCACCGCGCCGCCTCAAGAAACGTTCAGCAGAGGCAAACAACGCATGACGAGGAAGACACTGGACTAGAATGTCCAACGCGTGTCCTAGCCACCGCACTTAAAGTATTGAGACATGCTTCTTGAGTGAGTGGGTGCCTTCAGTGCTAACGGGTTGCGACCCACTCATGTGGCTCTGCAGTCTTGTAGGTAAGATTCATTGATCACAAGCTTGAGGTGGGACCTTCCAAGACTTCAGCCTGGGCAAGCGGGTAATAACATGCCCACTGCTGTCGCGACGAAACTGGACCTTAACGTGGTGCGACGGTTTGCGTACCTCGTTGACCCATTGAGCTATACTGGGAGGTGCCTCCGGGTCCCTTGAGAACTACTCCTACCAGGTTGGTCAATCGTTAGAGGTTAGACAAACTCAGTCTCCTGGTCCTCCAGGTGGGGTGTTGGAAATGGGATGACGTACATTTCTGTAAAACTAAATCATTACTACCTTCACGCTGCCTTGCAGACAGGCTTTTGAGCCAAAGGCTTTGACTGAGGACCTTAATTGTTCTCCTGTCTAGATCTGGACGCTCTGGTGGTATCAGCCCAAGTACAACCATGGCTATTTCCTCAAACTTCAGCCACACCCTGCATCCGCCGTCTCACAGATCATAAAGGGTCGCCTTGTCCGCTGCATACAGCAGGGTCGGTGAGCGAAACCATGCTACTGCTGGCGCATCCCTCCTTCTTTTCCACCTGTTTCTCTTATTCCCTGTCCAAGCCCAAACACTAACCTTCCTTCTAGAATTCCCCGCTTAACCGACAACAGCCGTAAAGCCACTGGAGTCGTATCATTTGCAGCGATCTTCCCGTACCATCCACTAGATGCCCATTAGCAACAGTACTCTATATGGGCACGCTGACCAGTTTCTCTGGCGGCGTTCAACGTTCAAACCCCAAGACAATTAGGTCAACAGGCGGCACTCGAACGCACGTTGGACACATTGAGTATTGACGTGTGCTGCTTATCCGAAACCAGGATCAATGGCTCTCATGGAGGTGTTGAATTAACTGGGCCCGGTCTGTCCTCTCCCCATTTGTTGCAGGCATCCGGAGAAGCCGATGCGGAAATTACTGGTCAAGGTAGGGTAAGCATCGTACTCAGGTACAAGGCAGTCATCGTTTTGGATTGGATTCCCGTGAGCAGTCGTTTGTGTGTAGCACGTTTGACGACATCAACTAAGGTTGATTCATGAGGTACTACAAGATGCTGTTTGTTTGTGATTTCCGCTTTTGCTCCCACCGACTACAGTTCAAATGCTGTCAAAGACACATCCTAGCACGAACTGGATGCGCTACTACGCAGTGCCACTAATTCAGATATTACAGTGCTCGCAGAGAATATGCATACGCAAGTACGTCTCCTGGGCTCTTCAGAAGCTCAGCCAGGCGGTAATTATGGACTAGCCTATGAAAGTAAGGACAACGGTGAGCGCCTGTTACAGTTATGTTCGGAGCACCGGCTGTTTCTTAGTGGCACCGCTTTTGGACATGGTGGGCGCCGAAGTGCCACTTGGCGTGCTCTTAGAGATAATCAGCGATGGACCCGGATGGATCACATTGCCATAAGCTACAGGTGGCGTAGATCTATTCTGGATTGCCGTTCATTCCGGATTACTTGCGCCAACTCGATCATACATTGGCACGCTGTCGTTTGTCCATGAACATTACCGGGAGGCGCACCAAGCGTCTCCCCCGATTGGCAACTGATAAGTTATCTCAACTCTCGGTCAGACAGTCCTATTAGGATACACTGTGTACGAAACTTTCGCTGTCTTGTTCTAATGACACTGAGCTTCAGTGGAATAGGATCTCGGCCGTCATGCAAGAAGCAGGAGTATCTGCTTGCAGCGCTATCAATCGTCACCACACAAATCACTGGATATCCAAGAGGTCGGTGAACCTGTTGGAATCTAGAAGAAACCTACCGACTGGCTTTGAGCACAATGTGACCAGACGGACTATTAGGCGAAAACTAAAGCGGAATC